AAAATAAGCCAATTTACGCAAATGAACGCTAATCTCCCACTATCGGTCATTTTCGGAGTCAATCGGGCGACTTCGGGGGATCACGTGATCGAGTGTTTCGGTTATAGCATAAAAAAATAATGGCGCCTAGACAAAAACACTGATAAATGAGCGACATTCAACGGGGAAAAAAAACACATTGCCACTTCTGCCAATCGAAGGGAAACACGGAATAAGTCGGGATATCTGGACAACAAACAGCATACCAAACCCCATGTTTCGCAAACTTTCGCAACCTTATTTTTTCAAGGGTTGAAAAAAACAAGAAGTAATCTAAAAACGACATTGAAAATTATGAAAACTTGCTAAAACTCCGAGCCGTTGCATGATTTCCGGTACACTGAAGGTTACCCTGCAGACCGACTTGTTTGCGCATGCGTAGTGAACGAAATATTTTACTGCGCAGATATGAATTTTTTTTTTCAAGTTTTTCGCTTCCAGCAAAGCGGTTGATACGGGCGTATCGGCGGCAACTAACATGGAGTATGACTAATGTTGTGGAAACAAAAGCGAAAGCACTGTAAGATAAACTAAGACAAAGGTTTTTTTAATCCTCTTAGTTTCGTTGTTCTTCCTGGGGTTTATAGTTCCATGCCTCAACAAATAGAAACAACAATCAGATTATAAAATATAATATGGTAATGCCCATATTTACATAATTATCTCCTTGAAAACATTAAACTCAAGTGTGCTGCACATTATTGATCTGGTCAGTTAGCCATATACAGGTGCACATAGGTAAAGTGCCAAATATTCAATACCAGATATTCAATTAATATAATGCCTTTCTAGTTATTATTAAAAATATTATGGAAAAGATCAATAAAATTAAAAAAAAAAGCATTGAAAGAACTCCTGTGTGCTGAGGGCATTGGAGGCATATGTGATTTAAGCAGAAATAGGAAATATTTAAAATGGATTCAAAATTTTATATTAACTCATTAAACAAGCTATAATTAATAACAATAAATATGCCTCAGAATAGACCAGTCATGGTAATTTCGAATCAGAACAAGATTTAAAAAAAAAATTATAAAATTGCCATGGCTGGGCCAGACTAATCAAATGATTGACCCCTTATTGTATTTATTTTCATTATTTATTTGTTTGTGAAATGTGATGAATTTGTTCTCAAGATGTTATTTATTTGTTGTTAATTGATAAAATAATCTCATATCTAATATATACATGTGAAAAATAAAATGTACTGGAATTACCACCCGCCTTACCCTCCCTGTGAACATAGGACCTGATTATATGAACATATGACTGAAACCAACTAATATAATATTGATGATATTAAACTCTAGGACAATTGGTAGTATGCTGACTAAGCTAGTACTAGTAAATCAATATTAGATCCTCTCCTAGAGCTGCTGGACTCCAGACTACTAAGAACTTGTACAAGAGTACGTAGTCTGGGGCTGGACTTAGCCTCCCCGGTACCTTCCACTATAACCTTACCCAAATGGCAATTGTCCCCTTACCTAATAATAGGCCATCCACGTCAAATATAACATGTGTAATATGACCTCGTTTTGACGTCATTTCAACTGAGCAGAATGTACCAGCTTTCTCTTGCAACGCACGTCACCTTCTCATTCGATTATCACGTGAGATAACATGGATGAACTATGATCCGGAAATAGTAGTCATGGTCCTGACCTGTTGTGACGTTTCCAAGCATTGATCGGAGTACCCCATTGACGCTGCAGTTCGGCGTCTTCTCCACTGTGCTGGACAGCGCTTCCGGTGACGACACAACGGGAGTACCCATTGACGCTGCAGTTCGGCGTCTTCTACACCGTGCTGGGACA